AAAAAAAAAAAAAAACACATTCACTTGTTGCATAACAGAAACCTGTTCCAAATGGTCTGGTCATTCATAATAAAACAAATATCTCATTGCATATGTTTTCTGCACATAAACGTATAAATAATATTACGACTCTTCTATATAATAGTAATTATTGTTTTCAGTGTTTGCTCCAGTGCGTCTACAAGAAAGTGAAAGCAGTTGAGTAGAATATTTTYGTTTAGTAACTATAAACCTATATATTTGTTGCGTCCATCTTAAATTAAAACAAAATGAATAGTCTGATTATTGATCTACATAATATTATACAATGTATTATRATATAATTGATTTAGGTTGATGAAACTGGTTTTCCAGTAGTCGATGGTTTAATGAAACTGTACAAYGAAGGTGTCCAGGACAGAAACTACTACATTGCTACTTTATCCGCAGTTAGGCATTGTATTTCCATCGCACAACAGCTAAAGCAGCAACAACCTACCAAAAGTTTCGGTAAAACATTTATAAAACATACTTATAAAGTATACAAATATAATTATGAGTTATTTTATCACTATTTATACAATACTAGTTAACAATTACAATGAATTGTGTAAATATTATTCGTGACCCTGATAAAATAAAATGTAATTAATTTAAAACAAGGTAAATAATGAATGATAATTGAAATCATATCCAGTYTCCAAACTATAGTAGGTAATTAAATAATACTTTAACTTTTCCCATAGAATTTTACTAATACAATAAAGAAAAACATAATACAATATTAATTCTAATAARGATAAACTTATCTATTATTAGAATATTAAAAATGGTATGCATCCGGTAAATACTACACCTAACATGATGTTACAAAACATTATTTTATTTATTTTTTATTAGCTCTCAGTATATAACTATTATAGCATATAAAACATCATAAAATCAAATATTTAAAAAAAAAAAATCAAATGCATATTACATACACGAACCAGTATAACCACTGTAAAAGTACAAATATACATAAAATTAATATGTTATTTGGTATAAGATTATGATAAAAAGTGTTATACATTTATTATGAATGTCTAACCCAGAGAAAGTAACAGTAACACATTGAAAGTCATATTTTTAAGTCATAAAATAACTTTTATTTGTTATACTTTATTTACGTKTTTGAATTTGAAACTACATTTTGGTTAAACTCAAAGAGTTTATAACGTATCAATAAGGCACAAACATTATACGATGATTTTTTTTATTATCATTTACATATTTTTTTAAATATCGAAAAGTGATGGAAATAATGAATTAAAATGTTAAAATAATTGTGTATCAGGAATTTTAACCCGCAAATAATCGAGATTTGTTTAACATATACTGTATAATATTTAATATATTATGAATTGATAAAACTTTAACACTTTCACATGGTTTGTAACTTGAGTATTATTTATTTTTTAAATTTTAGATGACGGACAGACTTGTGATCTTGCATATGAAATGTTTGAATGCGTCAGTGAAAAAATCGAAGAAGTGCGTATAAAAAAAAAAAAAAACATAACTATATTGATAATTAAACCTTTTTAATTATTTTATTTTAGAACTGTGGAGTTGAGAATAAGTTAAATAACTTAAGCCAACGTCAAGTTTAAAAAGATTTCTTTGACTTTATAATATATTCCAACACTGTACATAACTAACTATCTTTATAATTGTTATTAATTAATATAATCTTATTTTATTTAAATTCAAATCAACTTTCGTTGCTGTGTTAATTACCAAAAATAAATAAATCTTAGTGAAATTGTTAGTAAAATGTATTTTGATAAAATAGAATAAAAACTTTGTTATTATTATAATGCTATCTTATAACATTACACAAAATAACATGAATTTAGATATAAGTTTAAATATTAATTTTATTTGATATTACGTTATTATTATCATTATTATTTTTAAGGTCGTTTATCTTATTTAGTGGTTAGAAGACATCCTGAAAATATACGTTCATAAACCACACAACTAATCATTCATTTAAATCGTTGACCACTGCTGTTACAGCCAACAATGATTCTATTAAATAAAATCATTAGGAAATCAACATTTGATCATTACAGTTAACGTTAAGTATATTTATTATCCAATACTTATATTGAGTACATGATACATTAAAATATGGTAGTTCTATATGACTATATACTCCTATGATATATTCGTATTGGTGTATATTTAAATTTTAATATACAATAGAAAAGTAATGGGTTAACTCGTTAACTGGTACTGAAAATCTTTCTGACCAAACTAGATCAAATCATTTCATAATATAATAAAATGCTTAAAAAAGTTAAAACTATAATTGGTTCCATCAGCTAAATAATGCGTTTAGAAAATATGTGATGATTTGGTTCTTGTATCAAGATTGAATATAAAAGTAATGCTGCTGTATAACAGACCTATTATTCTTGCATAGGTATAAGATGATTTAATAAGCATAATAACTATTTAAATATGTTTTATTCAATAAAATCATCATAATATATTATTCAGTTATGATATAATGTACAACGCCAAACAAATTATCTTATTTACGTATCTATTAAATGTAAATTGAGTAATTATAACAAAATCTAATACATTAATACTGAGTGTAGAAGATAAGCAATTAAAAGTGAAGATAATTCATTAAATGCTATAAAATGTATGTTCATGAGTTAAAACATAAACTGTGTGTTGAATTCATTATTCGAACAATAGTAACTACTAACTTTTATACTATTATACAAATATAATACTCATAGGCGTTAGTCGGTATGAGTGCCTGCAGTAATACATCTTAGAACCTAGGTTTCTCGACATTCGATTAGGTATTGCTATCTTTTTTCTACAAGAAAAGCGTTATTTTTATTATTATTTAAAAATAATAATACAGCGACGATAATGTCGATAATACAGTTATCTTAAACCCCTTTAACACGATATATATATATTTATATATATATGTGCTATGGTAAAAGTACGAATACCGGTTAAGCCTAGGATTCACGGGTAAATCCTATAGGTTTCGCCGACTACTGTTGGTAAATCTAGGATATACAACATTGTTTGGTCAAACCCCGAGTGATTTTTGTAGTTGGGACTTTTACAAACGAGATTCGGTAAATCTTAGGATAAACAAACAGTATTAGTAAAAACTAAAAGTCCAAAAATTTTTACCAAAGTTATTAATTATTATTATTTAAGTATTGGCTTTGGAAATTTTCATTTCGACTTTCATATACACCATGATAATGAAAGACCTTGGCACGTATACAATAAAATCACTATCAATAGAATCACAACACAATCAATAAATTAGCCAAAAAGGTACCTACTTAAGTGGTTCCTACTTAATACTGTGTTGCACATACAATTTAGTTTATGATACGGAACAAGTTTGATAATAGATTGATTGTAGATTGAAATGATTGAATAGATTGAAAACAACTCGAGATGTCATAGTAGCCAAGCCTGCACAAACAAATAATTTAATAATACAATTAATTTAATTATAATGAAAATAATATAGTATATACTAGTAATAAATGTACCTAGTGCATTTAATATGTCAATATTTACATTAGTACTTAATAATAATAATAAACTAGTACTACAGTAGTAATATTATGTAATAATTATATAAATTTGTTGTCATAATATATAACAATAATATAAATGTGTGTATTTAATAATATGTAGTACCTATTATAATAATTAATAACTTTGGTAAAAATGTTTGGCCATTTACTAACACTGCTTGTTTATCCTAAGATTTACCAAATCTCGTTTGTAAAAGTCCGAACTACAAAAATCATTCGGGGTTTGACCAAACAATGTTGTGTATTCTAGGTTTTACCGAAATCAATTGGTAAATGTCCGAAATTCAGACATTTACCAACAGTAGTCGGCGACACCTAAGATTTACTGGTAAATCCTAGGTTTAACCGGTATTTGTACTTTTACCATAACATATACAGGATGTATCAGATAGAACTGACTAAAAAAAAAAAATTATGCTAATTAAACGTACAACAAAAATTGTGAAAATTATATGATTAATAACCAATTTAAGAAATATACTCATTTCAGAAATAATATTGAAAATAATATTTGAAGAAGTTATAACGCTCCTAAGTAATTTATGCAAAAAAATATTGATATTTTAAAAAATTCTAAAAAATAAACTAATTGATTTAGAT